TTCAGGACAGCCATGGCTACGAACCACTTGCCATGGCGGTAAGTCCGTGGGTTAGAGCCGTGGATACTACCCACTTACCTGACATACCAAATTCAACGTGCGCAACAAGGATGCCATTTCCTGGTTGGACCCCCTTTGAAATGGTTTTAAAGTTCATTTCCTAAGTGTACTGGCCAAACATGGCCAAACAAACCCCCCAACTTGCTGCGTGCCACTGAAAACGGTCCAACCATTCCAAACCCCAAAAGTGACAAAAGGCCCACAATTTCCGGTGTGACCCCATCCTCTTCGTCCTCTTCCCGACCCATCGATCCTATCGCTTCGCCCCCGGCCTCGTTTTGGATGTCCAGCTGTGGGAGCTCCACTCCTCCCGCCTGTGAGAATGAAAACTAGTGAAACCAGGTGGTTGTTAGAATTTACGTTGGGGAAGGGTATTTACGCGGGGAAAACATATCCACAGTATGGGTCGGTGTCTAGTCGCATTGAGGCCTCGGCAATCCGACAAGGGTATGAAACCGCTGTTTCTTGGTATTCATCTGGGGGAAGCATATCAGAAACCAGATTGGGTTTCTTAGGCGATGCCGAATGGATTTTGTCCATCCACAGTATGGGTAGGTCTCTATCTCACAAGGGCATGGAGGGCATCAAAACAGGCTGTCCCCCCAAAAAGGTCGTATTGAGGCCGAGGGGCAATCCGACAAGGGTGGTTCCCACCATGGCTTTGATTTGGACTTCCTGCAAACTCAACTCTTCTAGGGGCTCATTGACTCATCCCGCCTTTGCCTGACTGGCTTCCAAGTCATCCAAGCCTTCGAGGTCCCGAACCCCCAGTCGCGTGATTCTTTGGATGGGTCCGTCGACCCCTATCAAACCATTCAGTAATCTGAAGGTCCCGCCAAAGCAGCTCTGAAGGAAAGCTCCGAACAAAAGTTGCTCTATTCCTGGTGTCTGCCGAAAATTGATTTTGGCACCTGCCGGGTTCTCTGCATCCATAAACGTGTCCTTGCAGGGTTCTCCATAGGGACGGTTCTTCTCCCATTCATTCAACACAAAATGACGTAAGCTTAAAATGGCCTTCCTGAACAACAAATATACATATCATGGCCAACCGACAAGTTGGTGCAAGTGCCACTCTCGGATGAATTGATGAATTGCCAACAAATTTAAGTAAACCAACCACATCCGACCACATAGCCTTACGATTGCGATGTTTGGTAGATTGCAGGGTTCCCCCTTGTTCGAGTGGCAACTTGATGCGTCCGCTGCAATCATTGCTGGGCAAGGTGCCGAATGCTTGATAGGGTGATAATTTCGGGATTGGCAATACTACTGTGGCTGTACCTTTCCCTTCTCTTCAAACATGTTTGTTCTTCACGTGATGGAAGAGACCGCTGGAAAAAATGAGCGATTTCTAAAGAGAACACTGGGTGAAGAGAGCGGACATCAACCTTTAGAGATGTGACAAAGGCGCATCTGTTTTGGGAGTATTTGCCATGTTTGGAGTGGTTCTAAAGGCAAACCAAGAGGACACCAGCCATTTGGGCCATCATTTTCAGACAAACCGGTGAAGTGATTCCTAACGTATCCTCGACTGTCTGTTGCCCGACAAGCATCGGGCAAGGCCCCCCCCCTTTGCACCGCTTGCGCCTCGCTTTTTCGCCAGATTGGTGAGGCGTACAGGAGATGCACCTGAGGCAAAGTTTGCTGACGAACCTCCAACTTCTGAGCTGAACAGCGAACTCACTTTCCTAGTAGCTCCCCCGTCCACCCACCCATCCATCCTTCCGTCCACATCCATCCACAAGAAGTGCAAGATTCAAAGAGGCAACCCGCCAACAAATAATCATCCTGCCACGCCCCTGGCTGATCCCCGGAACGCTGCAGGTTAACAAGCCAATGTCTTGCAAGCAAATCAACTGAGACACCTCTTCATATTTGATCCCTGACAATCTCACATCTGTATGTAGCTCTCGACTTATAGAATTTCGATTCCGACTTTGGGGGGCGGTTGTAGGTGTTGCTTTCAAAAAGTGGGGAACTTGCTTGGTCACACTAACAGCTTTGACAACCATCCGAGGTCTCTTGGAAACACTGCCTTTCTTGGGGTTTATTGAAGCTTCGGTCCCAACCCCAAACCTCATGCGGGCCTGTCCCACTACATGCAAAGATTGTTGAACGGACCTCATGTTGGGGATTGTCATGGCCCTTGTGACAATCATTTGTAGATGTGGCTGTTTCGATCGGCAACTGGTGGCTCTTGGGTCGAAGCTCTTTCTGGTGGATCGCCATCAGCAATGGCGCAGGGGAGTCCAACTGGCTAGACTTGGGTTCGGCTTGTTTTGACACCACAGGGCAGCGGCAAATCAAGATGCCACTTCATCAGGTTCCGTGTCCTATTTTGAGAAGTGATTTGGAGCCCACGACTCTGACCGTTCCATGCTGAGGCCACGAGCCATAGTACGGTGAAGAAATGAATCCTGCGTGACCCGCTGCGCAGGCTTCTACAACTGCCCCGTGGCCGTGAGGTTCACAGATTCATTGGGAGTCGGAAATATCGGCCCGGTCATCAGAGTGGCTCGAGCTGAATGTTGTGTTGCTTGCTTAAAGCTCGTGAAATTACTGAGGAATTTCATTTGAGAATGCTTCTTTGTTCGAGGGTTTGATGTAAATGTGCGGGAGAGTAACCGGAATCTGCATCAACTTGTCCCAGGGCTTTTGGCCGTTTTTCTCTTCTTCACTGAGTGTTGGGGCGAATCATGGGCCGGCGGTCATTGTTGCCATTCCTCATTCCAGCATGATTGGTTTTGTGACTGAAGTTGGGGAACCACAGCAGCCTAAAGAAACAGGTTTAAGACAAAAGCACCATGTCGCCAGCTCCGATCTATAAAGAACATGATGTAAATCCAGGGCATCCTGCGTAAGCCTTTTCCCCATGTGATTCCTTCAAGGTGGTATCTGGTTGATGCTCAGACAACAGCCTTCAATGGATACGCTGTGGCTGGTCTTTGCTCTGGGGAAGGCTTTGTTATGCAAGGGCTTTGTTATGCAAGCTTGGTCCTCACAGTTCTCAATATCCGGTTGCGGGGTTGAAACGCTGAGGAATGCGCGTAGAAACAACATATCAGATTTGCGATGAAGCCTCAAATAAGAATGGAGCGCTCAAGGGTGAGGTTGCAAGCCAAAACCCGTTGTGAGGTCGCCTCGCACAACTCAAGGTGAGACCAGGCTTCTTCCCTAGGTTCAGCCAGGGTTTTGCATACTGCGCGTCTACCTTGTACTTGACCGTGTTTTGAAGTTCAATTTAACCGGGTGTTAAAAGTATGGAGGGTCCGGAAAATCCCGTTAGAGCCCTTTTGGCAAACGCAAACATAGACGCTCATTTGTACCCAAGTGGAGGGCCTTGCTCTGCTCTTGGCTGCAAAGGGTGCTGCGCACCAATGGGGGCAGTGGAATAACTTTCACCCAACCTCTCCTCATTGGTCATGCCAGTCATGTGTTCAAGGAAGCAAACATCCGTGCCCCCTTGCAAGTTATCCTTCTTGGGAGTGCAGCACACATCCTACGAGGCCTAAATCCAATCTCAACCTTAGAGCTGAAAGTGGCCGAACCAGCCCATGCCAGCTCGCTTTCGAACCCCGTGCAATTCGGAAACACCCCGTCGTAGTTGTCGCTCTGCTCCACTCAGTGGAGACATGTCAAAATTGCGGACGCTGTCCGCGTCGATTTTGGAAATGGTTCAGTGAAAGCCACCCACATGACGATTTTGAGGGCATTGGCCAGAGAAACTGTTCGGGTTGCACAAAACTTGAGCACAGCATAGCGGCGCCCGTCGGTCCGTGGAGGCTGTGTGCGTGGGAGATGCTGCGTGGACCTATCAAAGTTGGGCCAACCCACTATTTGCAAATGAGCGAGCGGCAAAACCTAAATGCACAGAAGTGATTTAGGACTCATTCTTATCGTTTTTGGGGTTCAAGCACCTTTTGTTTGAAGAACCTCCTTTTGGTCCCCCATGCATAGTGTTTTTTTTTTCTAAATCATATTTTAAACTTTGGGGTCAGGTACTGGTCAAACACGTTTTGCGGAAACAATCTGCCGTTTTGTTTAAACCCACATCAAAGGATGAACGCCGCCTCCCCATGTCTCTTACCCTGGTGACATTTTGAACAGCCTCGGGGTTCCAAGTCGGGATCACTCATCTTTACCACCGCCAGACAAGACCATGGCACGATGCCAATTCAAGGGATCAAGTACGTAGTTGAGAAAATTAGCCTGGACAGAGGCAAGTGGGAAATACACATGCGTGCATAGAGAGGGCTCACAGCGAGACAAACCAAGGGCGCGACTCCCATGGGTACGAGCCTTTGGGCCTTATGCAGATTTCCTTCAAGTTCTGGGACACACAAACAGCTTAGATTGAACTCAACCACAACAACTGGGGCTGTGTCAAATCAAAGTAGGGGACCCCCGCAAAAACAAGAAGTGATTTGCTGCTGGTTTCCCTAAAAGTCAACCTGAAAATGGCACCCTCCCAAACACCTCGCACCTGTCCTTCGTATGATGGGTATGGTCAAGTTCAGTCTGGGTGAGGCCCCGAAAAAACTGTGGCAATTGTTCCAGGAAAAATTCGAATGAGCCAGCTGTGACATTCCGCTTCCAAACAGATGGCCCGAGTCAACATGCAAAGGCCAGGCGTGAGGGATCGCTTGGCCTGGCAGGCTGGCCAGTGGGGCTAATACGATTCCTAGATTCTTCAGACATTCCGCCAAACAAAACACCAAAATCTCAGCAAGCTGCTTCCGCAAGTGTGACTTTTCGACAGGTCGATGGAACTGAGCTCCTGAGCTCCGGGGCGGAGTCGAGTCCACCGTCCGCGAGTTGCAATCCCAGCGTTTCAACGTTCAGTCGGTTGATCTTCTGTTCAAACAAGGATTATTTTTGGATATTATCCTAGGCTCCCCAGCTAGGTGTGCTTTTACCAACTTGTTTTGGGGGAGGAAAGAGGTCAAATGAGGAATTTCTGCAAAGATTCAGCTCCGGAGGTAAGACATATTCATATACAGCTCCACACTCTTTGTGGGCAGTGCTTCCGTAGAGGGATCGGCCGTGAACGAGCACTCTAATGGGTGCCTCTCCGTCTAGGAACTTCATGGCAGCTTACGTCACCTGAATTAAAGCACCATAGCTTCCGGGACCCAGTGTCCGCAACGTATATCTTCCCACCTTCTTCCACAAACAGCCCCGCCAGAAACGGCCCATGCTCCTCTGGGACCTCCCCCACTATGATAGGTTGCGACTCACCTGGGCTGAGGCGAAGAATGCGCTTCTTGCGCTGGTCGCTGAATAAAGCACCTCCTCCTTGGTCACAAACATGTCACACGCGTGAAACTTCAGGTCACCTGCCATTCAGCTCCTGCACCGCTCGTCCACCATGAGTCGTCAGGAAAATCAAACCCTTCGGCGAGCAGAACACGTTCCGCAACCCTTCAACACCACTATGTACCACCGTTCCACAACAATTCTTGAAGCTGATCAATCTGTTTTTTTTCTGTCATCAGCTATGAATATCTCGCCTGAAGGGGAGACGGACATGAAGCAATGATCGAAGTCGTTGGTTCCAGAAACTTTGGCGCCATTTCCTGCGACAACTCGAGGTTCTTCATCATCAGACTTCACGCCACCACAATGAAGAGCACACTCTCCCCAGCAACACTTTCCGCCCGCTGGCACCTAAACTAGGTGACCAGCTCTGCAAACAATGTCTCTTGGGCCGGAAAGTGTCTGAATTCTCCGCTCTGCTTCGTTTCCTGCGGGCGGGCAAAGCTTCATGAACTTTCCGATGCATCTCATCTCCACCTGGTCCGAAAGAAGAAGAAAAGTGGCCAATTCGGCTCAAATTGTCAGATGAAATCGATTGGAAATCCACGTCTCGCAGCAGCAAAGCCAATACACCAACGTGCTCTTTGGAGTGATTGAACCACTTGAAGGTGGCCTCTAGAATTACCTCCTCCCGAGACACGTGCACATCATCCCTTTGCAGAATCCGTCCAAGTTGGCCAACGCCGAGCATAAGAAACTCTTCCTGCTGGGCGGACACCTCAAAGTTCGCAGCGACCTTCGCTTCACAAACAGACTTCAACTCCTGCAACCCTTGGGTTTCTTGCAAGACTTGCAGCGCTGTGGCCACTGGCGCAATCTTCAGAGCTGTGCAGAGTCAATGCTCACAGGCCTCAGCGAACCTAATCCATAAGCATCTGCCAGTCGCAGGAGCTCAACGGAGTCTTCGACCGACACCGCAGGCTGACCACCATAGACATAATCAAGGAAGGCAGACCGCTGCATCGGACGCTGCAACTTCGGTTGCCTGTCCTTGTTGCACCTGGTCACTTTCCGAAAAGCTCCGCTGAGCAAAGTCTTGAAGAACTTGCTGGTTGCAGAGAGCGCGGCTGCGCGGGCGCCGTGCCGCAGTGCAATGTCACAAAACCGGCCTTCCTGCCAGAAGTCACGCAGCTGCTCCGACCAAACCTAGGTGATGCAACTGCACAGCCATGGCGCAAGATTCAATTGCCCGCAATTGGTGGATTTTGTGAAGTTTGATCACATGTGGCTCGTTTGTCCGCATCTTCCGCATGCTGCTTGACTCAACTGTATGCATAGAGTCTGCTTGTTTAGCTCGTCCTGACATTCACTGCGCTTAGAAAGCGAGTTTGAGTACACGGGCTCTGCGAACCCCAGAGTCGGGCCTTCGGAATGCAACGATGTTCTTTTCTCCACAGCTATCCAACTTCGGAACCTCAGAAGACCCGAAGCCCTAAACGATTCGTGGCATTCGTTTGAACAAGCCTCCAAAATTTGAGGCCCCCCGGCCGTTTGGGGATTCCCAGGTGCAAAGGGCAGCCACGCAAGACTCCGTCGCCCATTCTCCGCGCCTCTCCGAAAGGCCTCCAGCGATGGAACCCAAACCCAAAGCCGACAAGCACCAACTCGTGAAAACTGTAGGGGCTCTCAACCATTCATGGGTCTATACATAGTCTTTAACCGGTAAGTGGAATTTGTCCAAAGTGGAGGAATTCATCCCCACTGCATCACTTTGAAGACAATTTCCAGGGTATCATTGGCCATCTGAAGGCTACAGTCTCCAAAAGTGATGCTTGACACACCGGAAATACAACCGGGAGGCTCCCAAGACTCATGGGCCTAAACAAACATCCCTGGTGAAAGGGAAACCGAGGGAACCAGAGGCTCAGAGCAAGCCCGTGCGACTGACCTGACTGGCCAAAAAGAGTGTAGACGTTCTGGGCCTTTACTATGGTGAAGCCAATCTCCCCACAAGTCTAAAGTCTGGAACCAGAGTTGTAACTTTAATCGGGTCGACACCCCTTCCTTGGGTCTCCTCGGGAAACTGAGTGGGGGTAAACCCAAAGGTTGTGTGAATCGGATCCTGAACGCCTGGTGTTTCTCAAACTCGCGGGCACCTACAAAAATTGATTTCCTCTTGGTTGCCCTTGAACTAGCAACTAATTGCTTGGGTCCATTTTGAGAATCCGTAGACAAGGTTAAACTGTATTCACACGGCTATGGATTTGAGCTCGACTTTCGCTCTGTTGACTGGCTCAGCGGGTCTTTTTGGACTCTTGCTTGGGTTGTTCACAAGGGAAACCGAAGACCGAAGGACAGCTTGAGGGTTCCAACCCATTCACAGACCCGGGACTCACCACATTCCGCTTCCGGTCACTTCATCCAGTGCCTGCAGTTTTCATCAAGTCTGGGTGTCACTAAAGGAGCCGCCCTAGCTGCTCCTTCATGTCGGTTTCCTTGTAAAAATGCATGTACCATAGGGGTTGTGCTTTGAGGGCGGGCAAAGTACAACTGGCTTGACCAAAGGACTTGCCAATGAAGGGCAAACTATCTTAATTCTTCTGGGTCCAACAAAAGAGGCGAGACGTGTAATAATGAGACTCTCCCACTTTGTGCCCCCATCAGCTATGAGATAGTTTACCCTCATTCCAATCATGGAAGTTGTTTTTGTTGGACTTCCCGAAAAGGAAAGTAGTCCTCCAGAAGCCCTCTGTCAGCCTCCATGATTGTTGGAGTGCGGGGAAGTGATCTGGTCTTATCAAACTAGGGGTCCCCCCCAAATTGGACAGTTGTTCCTATCGTTTCCTTTTCTCACTGGCCGAGTGGATGGCCCAACACAAGTTCAAACAAATAATTTTACCACTAAGATGGTCTTCCCAGAAAGTTTAAACTTGATGAACTCAGGAAGTGAGTTTTCAAGCAACCCCCAAAAAGGGTACGCTTAAAACAGAGGTCCCCCAAAAATGGTGTTGTTTCCTTTGGTTTCCCTTTAAAGCAACCCCCAAAAAGGTACGTAGCCTCCAAAGGCAGGCCCATCTCTTCCGATCGATCTGGCTTCGGCACCCGCGCGGCAATCCCCTCGCCGCTTCGCACCTGAGCGAGTGTGTCCGTTTTCGGATCCCCTGCGAAACGCGACGCTTTCATCCAGTGGGTTAGGTGGAAACTACCACTAAGCCCCAACAACCTACTGCAAATAAATTAAGGGGATGGCTGGGAGCACCAAGAAAAGAACTGCTTGTTTACAGAAGAGAATCAATCCACGTTGTGTTTTGCTTCTTTTTTTTTTCCTCGGGGGGGGGAGAGGTCCACTGTTTGGGGCTCAAAAAGGAAACCAACGCGAAACACAGCTTTTCAGGCTGGCATGGTCGCTTTCGCGGCTGCTCCTTTTCGGCCCGGTTTGCAGACAGTTGGGTCCCTGCAGAGGGCCAACACAAGCAGCAAATAGTTCCAATGCCAATGGAATGTTGTCTAGGTCCTCCAGAGAGCTTAGAATCAGGGTACCCGATTTGTTCTTCTGTAGTCCATTTTAGTAGGAGAACCCTCCCCCAACAAAGTTGGTACAAGGGCACTGGGGGACCTAGTTGTTCAACAGTTGCGGTTTGAGGTCCGGATCCCAACAGTTGGAAGAAACAGCGAGATCTGGCTCTGAAATGCCAGAATTCTCGCTCGCTCTCTCTCACACCCACCTGAAACAACTAATCCCCCTGGCACCTGCATGGGTGAGCTCACAATCCAAATAAGGATCGAGGGGGTTGCGTTTTGTAATAAGATGTGTGGAAAATGGTCGGACCATGAAATGACAGGAAGTCGCCTGACAGCTTTCTAGGATTGGAGCATTGCTCCAGGCATGATGAATCCCATTTGCTTGATCTAGGATCCCTAGTCGCATCTCGAGAAGCGGCATCATAAATTTTACAGGGAGAAATCAACAACCGCTTGAATGCTCTTATGGTGAACTTCAATTGGGGGACCCGGTGGTGCACTTCATGACTTCATCATGGTGCAAATCATCTCCACCAACCACGGTTCATCATATAAACTTCCTAGCCGTACCAGTATCCAGCCTTGTAATGGGCTTGTCTCAAACTGCTCGAACCCACCAAATGGTCGGCTTCCTTTTCGCTGAGTTACCTTAGACCCCCCAAAAGTGGTGTAACCTTTCAAAAAAAAAAAAAACAACACCAACCCCCAGGATTGCTTCTTGACCCTTTTTGGTTTCGGGTAACTTTCCGAACGGAGAACGAACCCCACCCCCCCCCAAGCCGGCGCAGGGGCAGCTCCCCGGCGAGTCGTCGCCGACTCTCGGACTCTCGGGCCCCGGGCCACTGGGCGGCCCAGGAGCTGCCCGGCACCTGCACCGCGCGCGCAGATGCGCGGCAGGGCAGCAGCCCGTCCTGCAGGTAGGTCCAAACCACATATCCCCCTAACCTGTCAGCTGGTCCTGGAAGACCATCTTACTTTAAAGGGATGCCAGGTTCCATGTGAATTGGTGGGAGGGCAACGCACATGAGCAAACCAAACGCATGTGTAGAGGGCCGACTCCATGGCGCGAAAAAGGAAGGGGTTTTATGGGCAGAATGCGGTACTGTAGGACACTGAAACCAAGTTTAAGTCATGATCATAAGACAGTATGTGTAATTATTTTGCCCCTGACAGAGTATGTCAGGGTATGGCAGGCAAGGGCTGGTAGGCCTGGTTATTACCCACAGATCGGGACTTACAACCGTGAGGCTTTGGCGGGTTCTCTGCCCATGGTTACTAACCACTTACACAGTATCCTATCCCCACTAAGAAAGCCTACAGCTCTTTTGTTCTCCCGGGAGTGCTTGTCCTTGTAAGGCAACGTGACAGTTTGCGTTGACGAACTATCGACTCGTTTCAGGTGACCCGTTGAAAGGGGCTCTAACAAATAGGTTCTTTTTGAATGCTACACGCATTGCCCTTTGATGCAAGCGATCGGAACCCGTCAAACGGGCTCTCATGGGCAAAATTGCTTGTCTTCCCTCCTTACCCAAAAAGTGTTGAGCTCGTACCCCCGCAACCCTTCCGCAACCCCGGAGCCGCTCCAAGCCGCTCCGGAGCCTATCTGGGCAACCCCCAAAGCTTTCAGCTAGGTGAAAGAACAACTACCCTCGAACCCTCGAAAAAAGACCTCCAACTGTTCAGGGCGTCCAATAGTCGAGGTGGGTCCAGGTCCGCAGGTTCCTGTGTCAACCTTCCAACCCCTCCCCGTTCCACGGGGTCGGGTGCTCTCCTTCGCGGCCAAGAGCTCGCTGACGTCCAGCACGTGGTGCCGCTCCGCCTGGGACCTGCCCTGAGCCTCCGGACGTGGGGGTCGGGGGGGGAGCGGGGGTCGGGGGTAGGTTGGGGGGTAGGGGTTGTTGTTTTTTAGGGTAGGTTGGGGGGTGGGGGTGGTTGCGCACTGCGCCGGGTTCATCTATCATGTAAGCAGGCCCAAACTGGGTTGATCCTTGGCACCTTGCGTACAAATAAACTGTTTCCTATCGGCACCCCCCAGCAACTGCTTCTTCCCATGTCTGGAGTCCAAAATCCCAGGCACTGTCCAACAAGCAGTGGATGGGGGGTGCTGGTAGTTTGTCATTTGCCAACAGGGGTGAAATGTCGCAAGAGCAACCAAGTTTCCAGGAGGACCAACCTCCTGCAGGGAACTTAGAAGCCAACCTGGCGGAACATGGATGAAACCAAAACCTGGAGGTCTTCCAACGTTTTGTGGCAATACCAACATTTAGTTGAAGCATCCACGAGACCGCTTCCAGTATCTAAAATGGCCAACAGATGCGGAATCAATTTGTCGCTTTGACTTGCGTGTGCGCAGAGCCAGTCGTCCAAGATCCAGAAATTGCAAGCAAAATTCATGGGATCGGAGACCTGTTCGAAATGGAAGTGGCTGGAATCTTAACCCCTTAAGCGCTTTCAGCTCAGGCTCCACGAAGTTGTCTTCTGAGTCGGGGAACTGGAGAAACCTCTCTCGCTTGTGGGTCCTCGACATTGGAGACAAAACGTCCACCGCCCGGCTCGGTTCTTTCCGGTCGGGCTCCGGGCGTGGCAGTGTTCGCACAGAACCCCTGCGCTGAAGGAGAGGTGGCTCTTCTGCGCCAACGTCGCCTGTTCCGGGCGCTTCGGAAGCTGAGAGACGTGCCCAGAGTGGCTCGCTGAACTAAGGCATCCCCAACAGCCTTTGTCATAGCTCGCTATA